CCGGCCCCGGGGGGGCGGGGGCCCCCGCCGCTCTCCTCCCCCTCCTCCCCGGCAGGGCCTGCTGCGCGTCGCCGGGGGCTGAGGAGCCCTCGGGGCCTTGGAGCGGGCGCGTCTGGCCTCTTTTCTCCTTCCGTAGATAGGCCAAAACTGTTTTCGCAGCGGTTTGGAGGAGGTGTTTCCTTTTCTCTCCCCGGCGTGTGGGCTTTCAACCTTCCTTAGGGGCCTTTTGGGCCATGTGTTCTCTTAAGCCTGTGGCACAGTGTTCTTCTGATTAGATGTTCAGCTGCCACAGGACTGACTTAAAAGGGTGGTGGAGCTGCTTAAGTAGCATCGTTCTGCTGCTAATAGACAGAAACACAATCATTTGGTAACAAAACATAACAAAACTGTGAAACGTTTGATCATTTTTGCAGATATGGAGCAAAAATTCGTGCGCCGCATGCCCTGGTGATGACTTTTCTATTCAAGAATGGAAGGTATGGACCCTGGTTCTTTATTTCTGTGGTGCTGTTAAGAACGTTTTCATTCATTTTGTGACGCTTTCATGTTTCCAAAGGGCCCAGGTTTAAGAGGCAGAAAGATGTGTGTGCCATGTTTACATCCTCTTGTTCTGATAACTAAGCAGGTTAACTCATAAGTGCGCTTGTGTGTGTGCACAAACACGCACATATTCCCATGGGTTGGCCATGTGTACAGCGGTTGATGAGAACCTGTGGGCACATGAGAAATTAGTAGATACAAGCAGCAGCACTTCTCTTTGATTTGAAATAAGGGAAGCCAAGCTATACCAGTGCACGTTTCTGGCTTTCCCTGTTTATGGTAGAGGTTTGCACACTGGCAGGAAAAAAAAAAGCTGCTTGACTGTTCATAGTTTAAACAAAAACACAGTTCAAACAAGCTGTTGGATGAATTCTGATGAGTGACCTAGAGATGAAGTGAATTCCCCTCCTCCACAAAGCAGAAAATAGGTCTCTCTCCCCTAGAGAGCATCAGTCTGAATGGACAGGCCAGAGGATGGGCAAAGAGGGGTGTAATGTCCAGGCTGAGCGACTGCAGGGATACTGTCTTTTTGCGCTCCTAACTGTCTCTTTCTTTTGTTCAGTTTAAGAGAGAAATTGAAATCGATTGCTCAGGCCACGTACACTCATTCCCGGAACTTGGCGTTTTTTGTGTTCACCTACAAGGGACTGATGGCGTTGCAGTCCCGACTACAGGGGAAAAAAATTCCGTTTCATTCTTTCTTTGCAGCCTGCATTGGAGGTTGGCTAGTGTTTGGTGAGAACAACCCCATCAATAGCCAGGTAAATGTTTTTGTTGAAAACTTGTTTTACAGAAAAAACCCAACAGATGGGAGGTTATATGCCAGGCAGCGGTTAGTATAGCTAGGCACGTTTCTGGTGGTTCTTACTGCATAGCACTACTCTTCTACCACGTTTCTCTGTGTATATGCACACGTTTTATTACCGCCTGCTCTACATTCAAGACCTAGAGGTAGTTGTGTGCCTCAGTGAACACTGCATGCAGTTTGAGAGCTGAAAGCCCTTGTTTACCCACAGGCTTGCACGTGGGTAGGAATATGGGTGCCCGATCCAAAGCCGTCAGGTTACCACACCTATCTGCTGAGTTCTGTTAACTGACTTTGTGCATGCTCTGAGTCTTGGGAGCCAGAACACATTAGCTTAAACTTTGTTGTGAGTGTAGAGCACAATGCATTACCAAGCTATCCTTGGCTGCTGTCAGTCTTTTGACTGAAACTTATAGCTCTGCGTGTGGTGGTGGGAGACTAACTAAATTGGTTAAACTGGCAAAAACTGCTTGGAGGAGGTTTACTTTAAAGCTGGTTGATCCCAGATTTAGTTTGGGTCGATAAAACACACAGACCCAGGTTAATCAAAAACAATCAATATTGTATTAATTTCTGCAGTCCCCTGCAAGAGCACTCTTCTAGTCCGGTTTTAAGATGTGTCCAGGCTACTGAGTCTGTATCTGCTTGGCAGGCCAACAGGGTTGCTCCCTGGCTATGATAGCAGCACCACCATCTGAGGTAGTGTTAACCAAGCAGAAATTAAAGTTGTGCAACGGATTTGCAGCTGCAAGGATCTATTGCATCAGGTGTAACTTGTTACTCACTAAATTAGAGCACCAGTAGGGAAGCAGGGCTTTAAGGATATAGGGAACACAAACATCCCCTCCAGTTTTAAGGACTGTTTGTTGTGTTAGCTTACAGTCTGTTTCCCCAACTGGTTGTTAAGGTGAGTAAATTGTGAAGGTGGGTAAACTGGTTGGTTAAGTTGGGTAATTGTTCCTCCGTCTGACTTACTGTGTCTAAATCACTTCACTTGATGAGATTTACTGGCTGTGTTATTTGCCTAATATTCTCTGGGTTTTTCTTCACGCAGATTATTATGTACCTGCTGTCTCGTATCCTGTTTGGCTTGTCCCGGTTGGCGGTGGAAAAGGGCTATGTCCCACAGCCAAAGCAGGATCCTTTCCCGCTTGTTGCTGCTCTAATATGGGGGACAGTTCTCTGGCTCTTTGAATATCACCGGCAAACTCTGCAACCTTCTCTGCAGTCCTCCATGACTTACCTGTATGATGATAGTAACGAATGGCATGACATTTCTGACTTTCTCCTTTATAACAAAAGGAGTACAAGCAAGTAGTTGGTTCGTTGTGAAACACCTTTGAATGGGATGGTACATTGCAAGAGCTAAGGAAAAAGGTTATTCTGGTGCTCTTTTCTGATGGAACTTTTTAAATTAATCTCTATCGAGCAGAGTTGCCTCTTGGGTCTTGGCCAAAATGTTCTGATTAGTCTGATCTCCTGTTGGCTCTGTTTAGAGCAAGCAAACATCCCACAGAAACTTGTTGCAGTGCCTCAATGGGAGTAAAACGCTTTAGGAAACTTCAGTTAAAATAAGTCCTTTTTCTTTTTCCTTTTTTTTTTTTTTTTAAGGCCCTATTTTTTCCCTTACGGCTACATATTTTTTTAAGAAACTAAATATAAATAAAAACTTGACAGTAAGCAGGGAAAATTATTTCTCTAATCATCTTAAAAAGTTTTAGGAATTGTCTTAATGCTCGTGATGTGGAAGCATTTTTCAGTGCTACTCTGCTCACTGAAATAGGAACATGGGAGTGGGGCGCCTGCTCAGTTCTGAAAGCAGAGACACAATTTCTTGATTTCTGAGAAATACCAGAAATCCAGCCTAAATGACTACAAGGACAGGTATGTGCTTCTTAAGAGAGCTTCTGCAGTTTTCCCTCAGGTGGACAAGAAGACGTTTGAGTGTAAAACTATTAAGATTCTTTGGTACAGGCCTGGTAAATCAGACTTGGAAGGACTGTTTTTGCTCAGTTTCTCTCATGTACTTGGAGTGAATCTGTCCCTCTACAGAGTGTACTAATTTATATCCTGTAATTTATAGAACTTACTGTTTTTAAAAGCTGCTTGAACTAAATGCCAAAAATAAACGGATAAGCAACTTCAACTCCGTAGAAAACACTGAGGTGCGTTGCGTGCTCTCAAATATCACACTGGATGCTTTCTATGTAGCAAAGATCTGCAGTTTTAATTAGCACTTCTATTGTGGTGGAAGATAAGCATATCATTTTGTCTTAGGTCCAGCATCTTCCCTCCACAGCCATGGCACTTATTAGCTGCAGTCAGACTTGAATGTACCCACGGCTTGTTCAGGTTCCTTGCTGGGCCAGGTTGAGGCCATGGGTGAATATACCAGTGGGTATTGCTCTTAAAAACATGCTGTTGAGTCCCAGGAACAGTGCAGCATACGCTAGGTTTAAACAGAAGATTTGCTAGGTAGCTGAGAAAGAGATTTTTCCATTTCATCAGAACAAGTACTGTTTTAGTAATAATAAAATCAAACTGTTAATGCTATTAAGCACTTAAACTGCTATATGACACTATACCATTCACTTGATGGTGCACGTTAAAATAATTCCTGAGATACTGTTTTTACATGGTGATATCACAAGAGATTCGTTAAGCTCTCTGTGCTAACCATTTCCCCTTTGTCGCAGTCAGGAATGTTTTGCTTGCTTCTCTTACACCTGTAGTTGTTTAAACAAAATTTTATCTCTCTCTGCACCCATCTGCTTTTCCATCCTGACCTGACCTTGCCGTTCTATAACCCTGCTGATTCTATTCTTCGCGATCTTTCTGCAGTCTCTTATTTACGCTCCAGGCTCTAGCCATTTGTCCTATTTAATGACAGGACTAAAATAGTACATCTGGTATTTAAATTCAGGCAGCTTTTGAGGAGAAAAGACTTTCAATTTCTTATTAAGTAATTGTTTCTTGTCCTGTTGCTACTATTATGCATTTGTGAGTGCTACTTTGCTCTTTATTTTTCACTCTGTACTAGCAAGAAGGGGAGTATAATGTTCCACTTCCAATAGCCTGCCTGGTGTTGTGATGCTCAGGATCCAGTCCATTTACAGCTCTTTAACTGAATCTGACATTGGAGAGAACTGCATCCATTGTGAAAGTTTACAGTTTAGAGATGGAAGCTTCTTTGTGCTCATTCCATAGACAAGATACTGCTTTGACCCAGTAACTGTCTATGGTACCTTTAATTTATCTTTGATTTTACCCTGTAGTCTGTACTGAATACTTCAATGGGAGCAGAGATCAGTGTTTCATCTGATAGCTTTGCCAGAGTCTGTTGAAGCTAGGAATTGTTTTTGTGTCTTTGAGGATCAATTTATCTACACCAAAGTAAATCTTTAAAGATTTAAGTATGGAAAAATTACTCAAGGTACAGGTGTGTTCTGATTTCTTTAAAAACATTGTGTCTTTATTTGCACCACTGGTGGATATCTGAAGCAATGTGTTTTGGCGGGGGAGTGCTGCACTTCTTATGTCAGAAGCCTTAATATTGTTTCAAATGAATGTTAACAACTGCTAACACTGCTGAATTCCTAGAAGCTGCGATGGGATTTCAGAAAGCCCAGACTCTGACAGGTATGGCTTAATTGGGACTGTCTTCCTACAATTATAAGACTTATAAATCCTTAACCACGTGTACTTATTGCAGCAAAACATGACGACTATGTGAACTGTGTGTCTATCAGAAATTTCTAACTTTTTGAATTTATACGTGACTTTCCTTTCTTGGAGAAAGGCTTGTGATTCTCTTAAAAGTGAACTGATTTTCTTTTGCTAGGAATTATATTGACTTTGCAACCATATGGCTGCTTGTAAAGCATTTCTCTTACTCTGTCAAGTACTAGTGACCTGTCTCATCCTTTTTATGCTGCCGCAGTATCTTTCACGTCTCTAGACTATAAAAATAAGCCAGTAGCAGGGTTCTAGCATCAGCCTGGCGACAGCGGCCATCAGTCTTCCTTGGTTCCTTTTTCTCTTGGGAATCTGTCGCCAACCTCACTTTCAAAGTAAGTTGTCCCTGAGACTCGAACCATCTGTACTTCTGATCCAGGAACCAGCTGCTGTCCCTGGAAAACAAACTGGAGCTCATCACAGGAGCAAGTTCTGTAGGGCAGTAGCCATTAGCCGTGCTTTTGCAGACGGTTTGTTTTCCCGCTGTGTGCGGGCAGGACGTTAGGCTGCAAGTCACTTCTTTCCCCAGGGAAGTAATTGGAGCTTTTCTTTAACGGCATTAGTACACATTGCTGTTTCTATGACCAGATAGCTGGGGTTGAACCCCTTATGCTACCGATGTGTCTGAACAATGCCAGTGTGTAGTAAGGAAGTGAACTAGAAGTAATTTGTCTGAGTCAGACTTTTGGATACATAAGTTAACACTCCTTACCCTCCCCCAATGCATTGTGTGAGGAATTGAGTCCCCCATTTGTGTTCCTTTTTTATTAGCATTAAAACCAAAAGAAATAAAGAGACAGTTGGGAAACCACCTGCAAATCGGCCAAATGCTTAAGAATCACAAAAGAACACTTTTTTTTTCCCCCCCATCCCCAGCTCTGATCTATTTTAATTTTTTAAGATGAACATGTTTTTGCTTGTCTGCATCGACTCAACTCTATCTTGCTATTACTTCCCAGGCACCTCGCTCTGTGAGATGCTGAGGGCCTCTTAAGAGGAACATAGTAGTTCAGTGCTTAGCTCAGTTTGTGGAGGGAAAAAATGGGATTTCTGGATGAAACTGGAGTGTTCATTTTGCAATGATTTTCCTCCTTCAGATTTTGTCTCTTCTACGGAGGCAATTTTAAAGCTTAATGAGTCAAACTGATCAAAAGGTTTCACCAAGGCTTGAAGAATAGACTGACTATACTGAGCTATTAATCATTTATTTTATGAGGGAATAAGGCAAGCTCAGGGTTATTTACTGACGCTGCATGCTGTCCCGGCATACCCGCTGTGCTTGACTTCTCTTTGGAAGACAGCTCTTATATTAGTGCTATTCTTTAGAATCACTGGAGAACGATCTCCAGGAAAACTATGCCATTTAATAAAGGTGGCAGTTCAGTGGGTGCATGATATTTGATTTAGCTAAGGTTGTGTGTGCTGTATCTGATCCTTCAACAGTCAGCTACGGGGAGGGGTACTTCTGAAAGGAAAACCCGGGCTTGTCCAGTTAGTGCTGTGGAGAAGTGTTTGCAGATGTTGCAGCTGTAACTTGTGAACCTCTGTTCAGAGGATGACAGCGTGCTTTATCCTAGCCGCTGCCCATATATGTGGGTAATGCCTGCCTCTGTTCGGGGCTAGATCCTCTGCCACAGTTAGATCAGGCTAGAGAGGCTTGAGAAGAATTATATCAGTGCTGCAAGACTTCCCTTGCTCTGGTAGAGTAGTTTGGGCTCTGTTTTAAACTGAGCTGAGTGTGGGTGAGAAATGCGGGAGCAGTCTCTGGCTGCTGAAGCAGACCAGAACTGGGTGTCCATAGGGATCCCCCTCTGACGGCAGAGGATCATCCCCCCCCGTGCACTCGGCCAAAGCTCAGCAGCCGGCTCGGAGCCTTTGCGGGTGGTTGGTGCTAGTGGAGTAACCAACAACCAGTGCAGATACTCTTGCCCAGAAGAAGCTGCTGTGATTCAAACTCACTTTCACTGCGTCAGCATAAATATGACCTTTGGATAATATCTTGAGCGGCACACTGTTTCCTAATTGCCAGGTCCTGTTTGTCCTCCTGGATCGTGCTAACCTGAGCAGAATGTATTCGGTTTTCTAATGCTGGTTTTGAAATACAGCAGATAAGGAGGAAAGGGGAAAAAAAAAAAAAAAGGCATAATGCTATCCAGCATAATGCCTGTGTGCCGCTGTTAATGTTTTAGGGGGGTTAATCTTGAGTTTTCAACCTGTGTGTTCACACCAGATTGCTGGGGGAGGTAACCTTTTTCTGTGCTCCGCATCTGTCTTGTTTCCTTATGAGACTTATGAGACGTGGAGGGAGAAAAGTAAATTAAGTGCTCGTTAAAGCAAGTATCGTTACCTCGGCTTTTGGTCTTAGTGTATATACTTTTTGTTCAGAATTGTGTAATGCAGGTTCTGATTTTGCGGGCAACATAGAATACAGTGAAGAACATAAACTCAGGTAGCTTGTTATGCTGATCAGACTGTTTGTAGGAACGTTTTGGTTTTAAAAACAAAGGGAGCGGCGAAAAGCGCAGAAGAGCGGGCAGTCTGTTGCTGAAATAGCTCTGTCCGCTATGAATCAGCTTCTTCTGTGGTCTGTGTAGTACATCAATCCAGTGCAAGTTTCCTGCCAACCTCATTTGGAGATTATTTCTGTATAATCAGTCTTTGGATAATATTGTGCTTTCTGTAATAAAAAACAAATTTTTTGGTCCTAATTTTTTACTGTCATCATTAAGCTAAAATGTTGAAGCTAATGTTTAATTATTGCATGTTACTAGTACTGTAGGTAGACAAGTAATGCACAAATTGTATTTTTTGGCATCAGTTGTGTCCTCATGTTACCAGCTGGGGACAATAGGCAGTGCTGATTTGACCACAGCATCAGATTTAGCTGTCTGAAC